AGGTGAGTCATTGTCACCGTCAGGTCAGTAACCATGGTTCACTCAGGCGCGATCGCTGTTAATCCGCTACAAATATTCCCCCCCGAGAGTGTTAGCTGTGAAACAGTAAACGCTCGACAATAGGCGAATTGAATCAGCAAAGCCGACAACGGGTAACAAGGGTAGGTCGGATCTCTTCCTGGGTTGACTTGGCTGGCGTGACGCTAATAAACGGTCGTGTCCTTGGTCGCCTCTCTTCTCTCCATTCTCGGGTTGTTACGGGTTGTTAACTAGAGGGTTGTAAGGTAGTGCTTAGACGATAAGCTACTACATGGTTTTGTTTAAATGCGCCAAACATGACCTTGAACAAGCGTTACCTCGATCAGGTCAATACCGCCATGAGTTTAATCTCTTCATTCTACGGCGAATTCACGCTTGTGTGCCCTCGACCCTGTAAGTAGGAGGACATTGCACTCCTAGAGTCTCGAATCTTGAACTTGGCATTGGACGTCTCTGTTTGGCACACAATTTTCACACAATTTCGAACTTGAACACAATAGCGTGGCTCTTAAAACAAGCGAGTATAGGCTCTTCACGATACTCCCGCGTCCTGGGATTTTAAGATTGCAGTTATTTTGCTGCCTTCTTTCAAACTCGGTTGAAATTCTTGGCTGAAAATCCTGATTACTGAACGGTGGGCTTGATTGATTATAGTACGAGTGAAGTTTGCAAGCTCTCACCTCAATCATAAGTCAATAGGACTCGGATTTTCCCATCCTTCTCGATCACGGAGTTAAAGTTGTCCTGAATTCCGGTGGCAATAGAAGTTGCAGAACATCGAAATTAAAATGCTATTTTTATTAAAAATCTGCTAATCACCTACCATTGTGACGAGGCTAAAATAGCAAGCATTCCATAGTTGGTAAACGTCACGGCTAACCTATGAGAACCACGTATTGCGTGGAAGGTACGTAAATTGTCCGTAAATGTGTCCTGTAGAGGCGAAGTGGAGGACAGTCATTGGCGATTCTTCCTAACTGGAGGTGTGGCTCTGGAGAACCCGTATCCGAACCCCGCTCCTGAATGGCTCACCGAAAAGAGCTGGTCGGAGATCGTCCGCGCGAATGATTTGAATGGCCTCGGTGGATTCATTGAGAGTAAGTTGTAGTTGACAGCTTGGAGAAACCTTTCCAGACACGCGATTGATCCCTGGATTTGGAGGAACATGCCGTAATGACGCGGAAAGGCACCCATAAAGCTTGATGGTCTCTTTAGTCAGAAACTTTGACGCGAATTACAAATCGTGGATTTCGAAGTCACCAGACTTTGTGGGTGAACGTCAATGTCCTAGACGCCAACGAAGTTGCAGACAATAGAACACCGTGTACACGGGCTCAGGTCGTTGACGACGGTGCTGGCGATGGGGCTTGCATTGAAATGACCCGGTCCCAAGGGCATGGCCAAATTGAAGTTCTATTGTTTTTTTTCTGACTAGGCGTCCAACAAAAGCCGAATGCTTGGAAGGACGTCTACGATGACTCATCGCCTCACGCAGTGACCTTTCCTTCGCCCTTCGAGGAGGCGACGGATCTGATTCGCTTGGTCATCGTTCGCTGTCTTCGTCCCGACAAGGTCGTCCCAGCAGTGCAGGTAGAGAAGGACTGTGTAGTTTGAAATTTCATCTCAGTAAGCAGGCACTGAAGGCGCTCATGGATTACGACAGGTTTTGTCTTAACTAGATTATTAAAATGTCGGTAACGTATGTGTTGTTGTGGCTCGTAATCGATCAGCAAAATGGACTGTTTTTTTTAAAATAAAACTGCCACTAGATGAATTCCACTGGGTCTCATTTATGTTCAACGTTTTGACTACTCCGAATTGATTTTTATGTCAGTTTATGGTCCTTGAAGAAAGGATGCCAGGCAATGACTATCAATTAAAATTGATCGATTAGAAAATTAAAGCGTGAGTGTTCGAAGTGTTTGGATTCCTTTTACTTTAACAGAACTTCATAGAGCGCAAAATGGGTCGCCAGTTCCTTGAGCCTCCAGCTTTCAACCTGGCAGAAAGCTACGCAGATTCCAGCTGCTGTACGCCTCTGATATTTGTGCTCTCCCCCGGTGCTGACCCGTTGAACGCCCTCATTCGTTTCGGGAGCGACGTCGGCATCAAGCCCACGGACATCCAGTCCATCTCCCTCGGACAGGGGCAGGGTCCGATCGCCGCTAAGATGATCCACACGGCCATCGTCGAGGGTTCCTGGGTGGTGCTGCAGAACTGCCACCTCGCCGCCAGCTGGATGACCGCTCTGGAGCAGATCTGCAATGAGGTGATTGTGCCCGAGAAAACGCACTCCGATTTCCGTCTGTGGCTCACCTCCTACCCGTCGGAGGACTTCCCTGTCTCGATTCTACAAAACGGTACCGTTTGCCACCCCCAAACCGATTGTGTTATCGAATGTGCTATTTAATATGTGATCTCCAGCTCATGAATTCTCAAGATAGTATCAGGCTGGCTTTCACACCGTTCGTGGGTTCGTGACAAAATGGCTCTAAGTGGTGTTTTCTTTAAATTTGAATTCGTATGGAACTCGATAAGTTGGAACTATGTTGTACATCAGTATTTACGGCCATGAGCTAGCGGCGTATTCCGCACCTGTTTTCATGAAACGTTTCCCTAACTAAAATTCCAGCCATCCCACTCGTCCATATTACTGTGAGACTGTAGGCAGTAGGCGTTTGAAGGCGTTACTTTGGTGTGATATTCAACATTACGCGCGTGTCCATTTCGCATGAAAATAATGCATTGTTTCGGCATCTCGCCTAGGCATTAAAATGACCAATGAGCCACCGAAGGGACTTCGCTCCAACCTCCTTCGTTCATACTCCACCGACCCCATCTCTAACAAGAACTTCTGGAATGGCTGCAATAAGGTACGTCTGCTCCTACGCACATCTCCCCTTGCGCCCTGACGTTCCTTGTTTGCGTCGGCCTTGAAAATGCTACAATAACCTCGAAAAAGGACCCCGTATCCGCTTTTCAAACTATGATTGGTCACACGCGATAACCTGTCTATCTAAGGAGGATACATGTGGGTCTGAGTTTAGTCTCTTCACTGCTCAACTGTCAATCATCAGGTGATGCTGCCAATATCTTGCTGGCTTTACCGATCCTAGACACGCGGTTTCTCGATGGTGAAATATTTTCATTTGGTAGTGTACTGCAACTACGTTTGTCTACTGACCTGGTTCTGCAGCGGGTGTCTTTACCACAAACTTCTCTTTTCACATTTAAAAGTGCAGATTTTAATCACAACCAATGGAACGGACGCACTTTTCAAGGGCTTGAAAGCGGCTATAGACAGAGGTAGTCCGTAGTCTAACTTTGGACGAATTGCTCGTGGTTCTTTATGCCATTAAGCACTGACTCGTGGCATTGGGGCAGCTGTATTTACTATCAGTGAAAATCCAAACTTCTTGTTACATTAGCCCCATGTCTGGCACAAGATGCTCTACGGTCTGTGCTTCTTCCACGGCCTCGTTCAGGAACGTATCAAGTACGGTGCTCTTGGATGGAATATCCCCTACCAGTTCAATGACTCAGATTTACGAATCAGCGTGCGACAACTTCAGGTTAGTGGGAATAACCAATCAGGCAGCAAATTAGTCAGTTGCTTTTCTAAGTTAACCGAATCCAATTGTCAAGATGAATAGAATCTGCATGGAATGTAGGCATCACTTTGAGTGTTTAAACAATCGTTGACGCACACAGTCTAACATTGGGTTACGCATTCTAGTCAGGTACTTTAATGAAATCGGTAGTAGCGCTAATATTTTACCGTTTAACTATCGCCATGTGCGTTGCAGATGTTCCTTAATGACTATGATGACTTGCCGATGGATGCGCTGAAGTATCTCACAGGCGAGTGTAATTACGGTGGCAGAGTAACCGATGGAAACGACCGCCGCTGCCTCGTATCCCTGCTGAGCATCTTCTACAATCATGACCTTGTAACGCAGGAAAACTACAGGTGGGTGACACTCTTTCAGATCTAGGTAAATTTACCTACGTGTGATTGGCTGTGTTCGGCTGACGCACACACATGCACGCACACATGACTTTAAAACTCGTGATCGTCACTCAAGCATAATTGGTTATCACGCACGTTGTCTTCGACCGCAAGTGCATAGGTTCTTCCGGCGTCTTTCCACGCTCTTGAGTCTGTAGTGAGTGAGTCATGTGCTGGGAAAATCGAAAATGAAAATACTACTACTACTGCTAATACTCAATTTTTAAGCCTTTCGCCGTCTGGATTGTACAAAGTTCCTCCAGAGGGAACGTATGAGAGTTATTTGGACTTCATTCGGACGCTTCCACTACTGCCAAGTCCTGAAGTCTATGGACTTCACGAGAACGCAGACATCACCAAAGACAATCAGGAAACGGCTCAGGTATGCCATGAAAGTTGATTTAAGTAGCGCTGCATTTCGCTATTTGACCGTGTTCCCACCTGGCTCAAAGATGCCTTGTAGTTACAACCTGTGGTTCACATAAAGCGCCCCGTCCTATCTATATGGATCCATGAACGCATCAGATTACGAACGTCAAGTTGATTAGTTGCTATCTCATCGCACCTGCTTAAAGTACGAGATCCTGCTCCTTTAGCTCTTCGGTTCCATCCTTCTGACGCTACCTCGCGAATCCGGTGGTGGTGAGAAGTCGTCTGAGTCGACAGTAAGCGACTTGGCGCTCGACATCCTGAGTAAACTGCCCAATGACTTTGATCTTCACAAGGTCATGAAGCAATATCCAGTAGTTTACAAGGAGTCCATGAACACTGTGCTGCGGCAGGAGCTGATACGCTTCAACTCCTTGACTTCAGTCGTGCGCAGTACTCTTCAGGGCTTGCTGAAGGCCATCGAGGGTTTCGTCGTGATGTCTGCCGATCTTGAGGAAGTCTACGACTCCATGCTGGTGGGAAGGGTTCCGGCAGTGTGGGCAGCGAGGTCCTATCCCTCACTGAAACCTCTGGGCGGCTACATTGTAGATCTTCTTGCCAGGTGCGCTACCCTTGTGCTTGACGTCCAAAATTACATCTGGCGTTGTTCCACGTTTCACTAATGCCATTCAACAATTCTGCAAACAGGTTGGAGCAATCAAATTTGAGTTAATGTGTAGCATAGCAAACTGAATGTGCATTGAGTCGTAAAAAACGAACTTTTATTTGGTAGGATATCATGGGATGAGTAGAGGACAATTCCAGCGACTCTTGATTGTTTTAGCTTCAGTAATGACATTTCAATCCTCGTTACTGATGACAATATCTTTTCCATCTGACGTTCTGGGGCTGGATATTTGTGTAGGGTCGTTGATAAGTTCCAAGGGCATCGTTAATGAATAGTATAACCCAATGGCTAGGTCTAAACTATTTCTCCGATCGTTGTGCCTGTTAGGATAATTTAAATCACGAAATTCTTATCGGTGCCGCATCCCCTAAAAGTGACCAATACTCACCATGTGTCGTGAAGTGTGGCGCGTATCCGTCAATAACAACGTTTTCCTCCTCAACAGATTAAGCTTCTTCAACGAGTGGATAATTTTCGATTCGCCTGAGATCTTCTGGATTTCCGGATTCTACTTCACCCAATCCTTCCTGACCGGTGTGTTGCAGAACTTCGCACGAAAGTACACTATTCCCATCGATACCGTGGGCTTTGATTTTGTTGTGCAAACAACCTACGTCCCATCAGTTCTGGAACCGCCTGAGTCGCCCATCCATAACCACGAGGAGTCGGAGAAGCCGGGTGAGGCTGAACCAGCCAAAGCGCAACCCCCACCGAAACTCGAGCGACTCAACAAGTTCGGTGGGCTGAAAAAACCAGAAGATGGGACACTGATCACCGGTCTGTACTTGGACGGAGCAAGATGGGATCCGAAGACAAATTTGATTGCTGAGTCGCGTCCCAAAGTTCTTTTCGATGCGATGCCGGTGGTAAGATAAGCTAGGACCTGTTTTACACTAGCTGAACTCGCCGAATAATTTACATCATTCGATGAAAACATTCACTTTAATGTGGTTTGAGTGGTCGATTCTAGCGAAATAACTGTCTGATTTACCTTAGTTGTCGACAGACGGCTCGTGATCCTTAGAAAACGCAATTGGCCTCGGTTTTTCTGGAAGATGTTTTTTCTATGACAGATTTGGCTGGTGCCAATGGAACAGGGGAAAGTTGTGACCCAGGCGAAGTACTCGTGTCCCGTCTACAAGACATCAGTGCGACGCGGTACCCTCTCAACTACGGGGCATTCAACCAACTTCGTCCTCTCCATCCTCCTTCCCACGAACCGGCCGGAATCTCACTGGATCAACCGCGGACTGGCCGCTCTCTGCCAGCTCGACGACTAGATCCTCCGTCCAACCAACCCACTCACCCTCTCGAACGTTTACTACCTACTAGATAATACAATAAACATGTACTGCATGATGTGGGCGTCTCCTTGACCAATAAAAATGACCGGACCAAGTAACGCGTTTGTATGGAATGTTGGTGCTCCTGTGCGAGACCGATTTGTTGAATCCTGATTACGATACGTTGACGCCTCGCGTACAGTGAGAAGACCTGAAGCAAGGAGCTTCAACAGTTCAACGAAATTGTGTTCTTGTGTATGATTGGGACTGCTCATAGATTGTAAACTGACACAAGAGGAGGGCAATGTCTCTTAGCCATCTTAATCAGCAGAGGTTTGGTAGTAGATAGGCGGATAAGCCGAAAGGTGAAAGGCAGAGGGCGATGGATAAGGTCGATGTAACAGACTTGAATTAACACAATAACAGAAAGTATTCAGTGCCTCGTAAATTCTTGTCCAGTTGCGGCTCTGATGAGCACACGTTTCAGGGAGTCACACCTAATAACTTTCACAGCAATGAACTCCCGGAGGGTTATAGGCTTGAAGCATTTTTTTGATCAAATACGTAGGAATCATCCTTGGAAGGCATTTTCACGCACACCACTATCTGTACTCATATCAGCCGTCCTCGTCCAATTGGCTTACTTATCTCTGCGTGATATTATCAGTCTTGGTAGCTGTCAGGATCGTCCAAGACTCATCTAGACGCGTTTGTCAGCCTTTGGCTAAAGCAGCATAAATTCTACATGGTTTCTTGCATTTGACTATGTGCCGAGCAGGTGGTAGCCCGCACCAGATTTGGAGTTTCTGAATCGATTCTCTGGACATGCGATTTTGGTTACTAACATTCAACACATTTGACCAACACTTCATTAATTAGTTTCTACACTCCTTGTTCAGGAGCTGTACAGGGGTTATTATTCCAGTTTCCGCTTTCCACTACATTCGATTGGGTTTCGGTAATTTAGCTGAAATGAAGTGCAGGCCAGCCAAAACTTCGAGAAAGGTGAAAATTGCATGGATTGAGTTGTCCTCGAGGCGTCTATTCTGTCTAACCAATTTAGCAAAATAAGAAAACGCTCCTAGGTGAAACAAGCTGATACTTTATGTAACATTCACCGGTAATGGTGTTTGTAGTCAGTTCAAATGTACGTTTAGCTGTGTCGTGTTTAGCCGCTAACCCAAAAGCAAACACGACACGTGAACGCCTACAGGTCAAGGCAACACGTGCAGCTAGCCAATTACACCTGCCCTAGGCGACCTTGACTGCAGAGGAGAGCTAGCCGATAGCGAAGTGACGGTCAATTTAAAAAGCACGGGCACAAAAATAGACACAAAGGTATTCTGACTTCCTCCTTTCCGAAAACCCATTAATTTTTGTCTAGATTAGGCTACTAAGATCACCAAAAATGTTCGGACGCGTCGATCTAGTCCATTGTTCCCAAAATGTAATGATTTCTAACAACCGCCTAATTCGGCAACGAACCACGCACGTTTGAAGATGCCGAACGGCGCCCACAAAAATATCCAAATAGCGCCCTCCAGGAATTCATTTTTTACACGTCTGGAAGTGTAAGGCCAATGTTTAACAGGATTTCATCCACGCATGGAAACTAGGTTAAGTTATAGACACGAATTCCATGACGCATGCATCCTCGAGAGCAGTTCAGGACAGGAGCTGAGACAGACGAGTCTGCGAGCCTGCTCAATTGGCGAAAGAACTCCTTGGCTTTGCTCTCTACCGGCAACCGTCTCCCTGACAACGGATTCTACAAAATTGAACCACGTCTGCGAGCCGAATCGAAGTCGCAAGTCCTCAATCAGCAGCTCTGTGGGGCAGAAACCAATGAGCTTGCGTTTTATCAAGGTCAAACGAGAGCGCTGAAAGTCCTCGCCTGATTGGCCAAATATCTGACCATAGGCAGACCAGTTCAAGGTGCAGTTTTCTTCAATAAACGTCTAGAGAAAAGGAAAAAAAGCATTATGCAAACGTAGAGGAAGACCGTAGCGCGGTTTATATTACCAGACTTGCAGATAACTACATACTACGAGAATCAGGGGAAAAAAATTGATCCGTCAGACAAGTCCCTAGACAGTTAAAAGAAGGAAAGAACGCCTTGAGTGGGTGTCCACCTATTGTGGTCTATTGAAAGCGTTGTTGAAGGCCCAGGATTGTGGTCCCAAACCACCCCTCAGCTGATGTGTTGTAGAGCCCGTTCATGCTAGACAGATATCCACGAGAACTCGAGATAACAGACAATCGCTTATTAGACAGCTCAACCCTGTTGCGACTGTCTCACCACCGCACACAGAAACCTCGAGTCTGGATAGTGGGAGCTGTTGACCAAAACAGTCGGGTGAAACTGTAAAAGTACAAGTGGCTAAACCGCCAGCGTGGGGGTGGTGCACACACAGGGGTCTATGAGCAGACGGTGTCATACTAACGATAGCGACGCGTGAAAAGGAGGTGAGTGTGGGGGAGGATGCGATGACAGGGTTAGTGGACGTGAATCAGCACAATTCACACGAGTGTGTTCGCTACTTGGTCGTCCATGGCGAAACAGAAGCAATGGTACATGAGCAAAAAGCAACTCAGAGATGGAAACAAGACAATAAAATGCATTTTTGTTGACAAAATTACTAAAGGGCGCGTCCCGCAATAAACAGAAACTAAAGAACGCGACTTCAACTCACTTCCGAATTGCCATCGCTCTAGTACCGTTTTACTGGTCATGATAAAGGAGGAGAAACAAAGATTCCAGATCATCCCCTTGATCAGTTCAATCGGCACATTTTGGAGCGAGGTGGTTCTGTGTAGATCAAGCCAAGATCAACGTAGTAAGTCAAAAGAAAGTACTTTTAGTTGGAAAAGGGAGCGTTAGGTTGGTGGTGTTGAAGACTTTTTTACCACAAGAAGTAACCCGGGAAGGCAATAAGTCCAGAGATGGCAGACACGACCATTTACTAGATAGCTCAACAAAGTTGTGTGGTGTATAATTACGGTTAAGTGGACATGTGTAAAAATAAACATAGGTGTCTGTGAGGTCACATGACTAAAGTGGGCGGTGGCGGGACATGCAGAGGGGTTAATGAACCGGCAGCCTCTCGTGACTGACGGGCACGCCGTGAAAAAGGGGGGACGTGTGTTGGAAGCTACGACGACTGGGGTATTGGGCGCGAATCAACACGAATCCCTACAGTGGGATTGCCACAACAGCTGTGGTAAGGTGGAATTTGCTTTGGTAACCACAGCGCGTTAAGAAGTCGTCGGTAGCGCTTCCAGACTCCAAGTTCCATTCCCCGCTATTTTGAGGCGGACTAACCAGGTTAACTTAATTAAAGAGCATTATACTATCACAAAATCGTCGCATATACGAATGGCTCACTTAGAATCCGCTTCGAGAAATCAACTTAAGAGCCTTCGTAAAAATAAGGATCTGTTAAAATGGCATTCTAACACATTTCGGAAAAAAAGTGTACTATTAAGAGAAAATAGGCTCTTTTAACACCAGGATATCATAAAATCGACTTCGCTGCTCAGTGTGCGTGCAGATAGGACTGTGCAGTGAATCGCGTTGATTCACGCCCATGAGCTTTGCCGTCGCGAAGTCCGATACACCGACCTCCATCGCTCCCTGTTCACACCCCCTCAGCTACTCATTCCACTTATCTGGCCATTCTACTTTTACAAGTTCAACCAGGCTGTGTGGGTCAAAAACCTCACTGAGCAGACATTAATTTTATATGAACAGTGCGAGACACCCACAAAGAGGCCGAGCCACTGAGTAAACGGTTGTCTGCGGCATCTCTCGTCTTCTTGATTTTGGCTATCAGCGTAACGTCACCGGACAAACAGTAGGCGGGGGCCCTGATGTGGTTCGGAACCACATGCCGTGACCTTCAACAATTGACTACAGATCGAGTTAGCTGATCCACTAAGTTCCTCCGTGGCCAAATGAACTCAAACTTTAGTGTGCCTTTGAGGGATTTTTCAGAACAACAAACTCAGTTAGACATGCGCCTTCCCGGAGTGGATATTCCAGTCGTTATAACAATTTCAACTGCGTTTACACCTGGGAATCTCACTCATTCGTGTGGAAAGCGACTAAATAGCGACTCAGGCGAAATGGCACTTCGACGAGATTACCCAAATGCAGCGGTGAAAAGGAGGTACCTGAAGCGCAGGAAGAATGAGGTTCGAGTGGTATCGAAGCGTGGTCAGCGTTCGAGAGAGTGTCGAACCGAACGAACCTGCGGGTCCCGACGGCTCGAGCAACTCCCGGATGCTCGATGTCAGTCGCATCGGCACGTACTCGGGCACCGGAAGCGCCAAGGTCACACCAAACGCGTAGCCGAAATCGATTCCAATCAGGTCACCCGAGGTTTTGTCGAGGAGGAAATTTCCCAAATGACGGTCTCCAACCCCTGAAAAGCACCAAGTACGACTAGCTACAATCAAATACTTAGTCGCACCAATTCACAAGTCTGGTATTTAAAAGACTATACATCCGGTGAGGATTTGAAGTCTAGTAAGGATGCCCCAAATGCCCCAGATACCGTTATGAATGGGAATCAGAATTAAAACAACAAATAAAACAAAATTAACCGTAAATATCACAGGTGTTTGTTCAATAAGGCCAGGACATACCGAGAACGAAGTGGACTGCACACAGCGCAGCATGGCTGGTGATGAGACGCTGTCGTAGACTAGCGAAACTTTCGGGAGAAGTGGCTAGTAACTTTTTGAGCCCGCGTCGCAACAGTCGCATGGAAAAGACAAGACGCTCGATGTTGACGAAACGCGAGACTACGGCGCTGGAGTCCGAGCCCCAAGGAGCCTCCATGCGGTAACCGCGATTGGACAGGTCGGCCGCGAACGCTTTCGTCTCTGTGCTGGAACAGACAAACACATAGCGAAGGCATGACCTGTCAACAGGTCGACTGCTGAGTGGATGGACACGCTTGTCGAGTCAACGCGTGTTCGCCGATCCACAAAGATCGAATCGCCTTCTCAGATGAGAGGGCACACACAAATTCCCCCGCAACTTCGTAACTACGGAGCATGTTCAAGTAGCAATAGACTCACGTGAAACGCTTTTGTTCTTCCGCAGTCATGGCATTCATGCAGAAGGAGAGGAGGGTTGTCGTGCAGGGAACCCACTGAATGAGACCCAGCGAGATGGTCATGGGCACAACGGAGTATGTGCGAAGATGGCCGTCTCGAGCTGGTTGGTTGATGGAGAGAGCATGGTTGGCAAAGCGGATGAGACGCTGGACGTTGGCGTCTTGTCGTAGATCCTCACCCCCCTTGACCAACCACCTTCGCCACACTCCATCGCTCCCAAGAAACCTCAGCAATTTCGGTCTTCGCAGGCTTGAGAGCACCTTGAAGCAAAAAAGATGAAAGAACACAAAGGTACAAACGGAGAGTGTTGCCCATTCAGCGTCCCTAAGACTTGATATCTGTCATTATCATTAGCTTTTATGCACACTAATTTTTATATTCATATCGGCCGCCCCCTTCTTATTGGCCCATCCGCCTCTGTGTGTACGATTTCCCTTACTTGCGTTCAAGGTCGCTCACGCCCTCAAAACATGGACGTGTCCAAGCGCATCCCACCTTCGAATGCGGCAGTAAGATCTCTGTGCACACGGTCATATCTTGGCCTAGTTCGGGAGGCGTTGACACATGCGTCTTTTCTCAGGGAACTAGCACGGGGGAAGCCTTTGACGTGCTTATCAAGGAGCTTCAAGGGTTTGCGCTTGGGCCCTCCATCGGTGTACCTGTAGCTGTAATGAGAGAGCGAAAATCCAGAGCACAAAAGCCCAACTCCACACTTGTGAAGGTTGTTTCATTGGTCACGGATAGTGACGTGAGAACGGTACCTTTGGTTTGACCGAAGAATCTACCATTCATCCCGAACGAACACTCAGACGAGTGTTTTGCCTGAATCGAAACAATTTACATGAAGGACGGCTGGTTTAGCATGTCGAGATGCTCCGTCAAATCTCTACCAAAATGATGCTCACAAATCATAACTACTGAGAAAGTGAGAAAAGGGCTGATTAGTTCAAAACACTAAGCAGGAAGATGGTGTCGAAATAGTTTTGTCAAACTCCTTGGATGGCCTGAAAATAGCTAGCGGGGTCTTGCCTAAGTTACCAGCTTCGAAGAATTACGGAGGAGAAGGTTGGAGAGGCACGAACCTCAACGCGTGGATCTATCCGCTCAATTGTCGCAACGGGCGTCCTCGTGGAAGACCAGCTGGTGGAGGTGGACGCGTGTCCCGGCATTTCAACCACGCCCAGTCCGTCCGGTGAGAAATCGGCCAGCCATCGGGAAAAGTGCTCCACCTTCGAGGTGCTTGGAGCGGCGCTCGCGTAGCGGGTCGTGATTTTTTGGACAGCCAAGTCAAAATCACTTCGGTTGAATCTCAAAAGCAGTCCGCAATCATGGCCAAATTCGGATTGAATTAGCCCCGCGAGCTAAAACACCCGAATCCAAGACCACCACGCAATGAACTAGACAGACATGTCAATTTGTAACACAACTCTAACTGCCTGTTCGTCAGGTCGCTGGAAAGCGACCTAGGGAGACACCATAAACTAAAATATATTATACGAATGACTCAAAGATTTAATGGTTAAATTAGATTTTGCCAGAAAACTAAAATGAGGATTGTAAACTTCCAGTAAGTCTTGTTCGCCACAAAACGGGTTCCTGCATAGCGAAAAAAGGAACTAGACAAGTGTGAATAAAAAACTCACACATTGTGCTGCTCGAGATCGCTCAGTGTCGACGGCAAGATTGGACGTGTGGCCGCCTACAACGTAGACAGGTAAGTATTCATGTGAAGGATGATTAGAGTGTAGTAAAGGGGGAAGCAGATGAATTCTACCGCTGGCAATATCATCCGGATGTAGACGAAGAAATCCACGGCTGAGGAGGTTGCGGCAAGAAGCTACGAGGTCCGCGCGACTGGTGGCTTCCGAGAGAACAGCTTGTCTAGCGTAATTGTCGACCCAATCCTGCAAGACCCAACAAAGACAACAAATGTCGAACGAAATGCAAACATAGTTCTAGCTAGATTGAAGTCTGCAATTCAACTCGTTAAGCACACTCTTAGGCTACTTAAACTCGACTACGCACTTCGGCATTTCTACTCTAAGAGGTAGAAATAGTTGGGAGACACAGAGTAACCGGTGAATAGCTTCCACAGGTAACTACCCAATGGGTAAGTTTGGAATCTAGGTGTCTGCAGTCCTCAATTTGATGCTTTTGTTCGACTGTAGCACTTATGCAATAAACGCGGGGAGTTTAGCGTTTCAACAGAGAAAGTCCAGAAATCGCGTCAGATAGGAGTTGAAAAGTGCGAAAATAATACGATAACAAATTACGGATATTCTTGCTGACCTAGAACACCCAGCAAACAAAATTTCTTGAAGTGATTGCACTTTGCGTCCCTAGATTATGAGCCAATTCTAGCCCACTTTGACAAGTTCATGAAAGAGATGCGACACGGTAAAAATGCGATTCAAGTCCCCACGTTTGCACTAAATCCGACGGCGAAATGTCGAAAAATTCGTTGTTCAGATTCCAGCGTGCTAAGGTTCTGACCCGTAAAGTGCACAGGTTTGCTAATCTCACCTTAAATACCAGATCGGGGTCATTCAGGTTTTCCAACTCATCCAGGAACCGGTTCAGGTGGGTTTGCTTCGCCAGCATCTGCTCCAGCCTTAAATGAAGAAAAAACGCGCTCAGTTGTGGAAGTAGAATTTCGATGGACGATGCATTGAGAGGGCAGGTGTGAGTTAACAAGGTTTGACGTGACTTCTCGAATAACAGGAGAGTGTCGAAGACACCACCAGAAACGGGGAATAGTGGTTTCTCTTAAGGAAAAGTCCTTTGCAGAGGTTCGTAGAGGAACAGAGTTGGACAAGGTACGATTGTAATCGACAGGTTAGCTCGAGGGAGGAGTTAACGAACGCCAGTTTGCAGACCCGCAACTAAGGCTGAAAAAGCCGTTGACGATTGAACTCCACAATTTTTCGTGGCACATCCAGGGCTGTGATAACCGTCCGAGAGAATCTGCTGGTAATGGAGACGGATGCTCAAACGATTCACAAAAGTTTCCCATTGGTCAACAATGGAGTGAGCATATATTCCATTATTGACCAGGGCTTAGCAAACGTGAGACATACTTTTGATGTTTATCAGACGAGTAAACGGTTGTGTGTTTGTTTGTGGCGTCTAACTAAACTTCTCTTGGTTATTGGATGATATAGCAACTGCATCAACCACACAGCGACGGGACTATTCGCACAATCTTCCTTGCACCGACATTGAATGGTGCCGTCCTCGCTTGAGATGGAGGCAATTACTTGGACTTCTTCGATTCTTGCGAATCCGTTGGCTGGTTTCCAAACATGTCTAGCGAATTCATGTTTCCTGAAAGCCTCCACCTTTACGGTGTTACGTGACGTACTCAATCTGTTGGTCAGATAGAAAAATTAAGCTTATTTAAACCTACCAGTAATAGAGGTGCCACTACACACAAATTGTTGAATCTGTGACTAGAAGTACACAACTAGACGGTGCGTAGTTGTGAGGTACCAGGTTTCTTTGAGAACACAAAAAATCACTCAGTGACAATCACTACAGCGTCTCCATTGCCATTGGACCTGAGGTTAGTGATAAATCGATCAACCAAGGGGCGACTGTCTGGCGACCAATCCCAAACGGAAGTGAGACGTACGCGAAAGGGGAAGGAGAGTGCCTGAGGGAAGAGGCAAGCCACCCTTCGGAGAATGTCCGCCACCAGTTCCGAGGCTCCGTTGACGAGGGCATTCAGGAGGCAGTCGGACCACTGTAGGAACATCCACACGGGTAGGTCTTTTGTCTTTGTGAAATGAGAGCGAGCCTGTTGTAGACTTATGAGATTTGGACGCGCCAAAGTAGCACTTCTAACTTACCATTTCGCGAAACAGATCACCAAGGGTACTGGCGTCACTATGCTGGCGAAACTTGGCACAAGAGGTCGTGATCTGAAGGGCTCTTGAGAATCGAATGGAACCACCATCAGAACCCAAGTACATTGCGGTTAGGACTGCACTGACGAATGCGTGAGCGTAGGCGTCTGAACGAATGCCTAAAACGACGACGACAAATTGTTACGTTTATCCACAGCGAGCTAGAAGAAAACCTACCAGGAATCATATGGGCGTTGCAGAAGTTCGCTACTTCAAGCAGGGCGTCCTCGGGTGTATAGACAAGGAGGTTGCGGCGACACAGTTTCTGTTCAGCTGACGATGGGATAGCTTTCGTGTTCTCCATAACACATCGAGCCAGTTCAAGGCAACGTTTGAAAAAGGCAAGAGCGCTTGACTGCAGAAAATCTTCGTCACTGACCTCCAGTCCTTGGATCCGCGAAAACCGTGCCTTCAGCGCAGGCAGGAGGGAGGCGTTCAGGTGCTTGGAACCCGCGTCGCTGAGGCGACCACTCTTCTGAAGATCATCGAGAGACGAGAGGATTTGAGCGATTGAGATGGCGTGAGAGAATTGAATGACAGCCACATCTGCATCGCAGAATGACGGTGGCTGTCGAAGACCTTCATACGTCTCGATACATCGAGCTGACAGAAAGTTAACAACAGGCTGTGAAGACTCGATAGGTGATGTTTTCCAAGAACAATACAAATAATTAGTTCTGTGATCGAATTATGGCCTTGAAGTAATAAAATGGTCAGCACAGAGCAAAAAAGTTTCGCTTCGTGGTGTCAGAGATTATGAGACGATCAGTTTGACAGGGATAAAAGAGAAACTCAATAAAGCGCGAATTTCTCGGAGCCAAAAAATTCCGGTTCAGGTTCCTGGCTAATCAACTCCAGCTGATTCGGCTAACACAGCATCACAGGAATCTAGTCAACTCATTTAAATGTTTATCCGCCAATGTGAACGCAGATTTACGAGCGAAATTTGCACCTTAAACAAAGGTCTTCTTCTGACGTTGGACCACGACTAACTCGCTTTTCATTGAACCAAATCAACGCAACAACTACCTTAAAACTGAACGCGACCAACATTCACAAGTTTCAATCCATGCTGATATTCAATTTTTGCTTTTTTGAACGTCAAACGTAAAAGTATTCTGAATGTCTTGTAAAAAATGTGATGAACGCCTACAACTTAAAGAAAGGCACCGAGACAATCCATTTTCCAAGTCAAAACGTGCGGTCGCCCTTCCCGTACTGCAGTAGAGGACTGAAGTCAGCGTGTGAACAGATTTCCAGGCGCGCGAGAACGCATTACACCACGCAAGTTGGCGATATCCATTGTCGCTGCCAGATTGGCTGCAAGCGTTGGTTAGTCTGCGAAGTTGGTTGAGTTGATTGATTGATCGAGGTGAGTTCCCGGTTCGCAAACAAGCATTAGCACCAGCCAGGCCCAAGTCCACAACTGCAGGTACCAAATGTTGCTGAATGGATAAACAATCCATGCCCGCCAATTTCGACAGAAGGAATAGGCTGAATTGACACAAATGTAAGATCAACCTGATTTTACCGGCATGTGGTCAGTTCTTCGCTTGGGTCAGACTCTATACAGCGTTCGTACCACTTGTGGAGTAGGTCCATTGAAGAAACAGCATTCAATGCTGAAGGGATTATGAGCATGAACTCACGCAGTTAGTAATGACTTACTTCCAGACGTAATTTCGACAAATTCCTTGACTTCTGTAAGCAACTGCGCCTTCTCTAGGCGAATGTAGGAATCCTCCAGAGATGACCAAGTCTAGCGGCGGTTAGTACAATCCTTCACCATACCTGTGCGAGGGTTTTGAACGCTGTGCTGCAGCGGAGTTGCGCGCGATCCCAGTCAGATTCAAGGACGCTCAGCATGGTCAACTCGTAGGCGAATTTGGACTAGACAATAATCAAGTGAAAATAATGGTTGGAGCTACACGTACCTCAAACAGGTCTGATGTGGAGCGCAGACCCGAATCCATCACCTGACGAAATCTCTCCAATTCGGTCATTCCAGCCGAGGCCCGCGATTCAACCGCCTTGTTGATTTCAGCGCACAAACATGCCTGTAGACGGGAGCTGATGACTAAGGGAAGAACACTCTCCATTGCATAAGGCTCCATCCACAGGGAATCTATGCAAAGGCAGCACTTGCATCGTACAATGAAGTGTTCGGATATTCATGATAGTTCAGGACCAATGGAGAGAAGCTACTGACGTACTTAGCACAGTTTATAATAGTAATAAAAATCCAGATGAAAACCATCCCCTTGGAAATCATGAGTAATGAATTTAATAAATCTTCAGCTAACTGATAAGTGAGAATGAGGCACGTAGCAAGAATCAGCATTTCACGGTTTGCGTATAGGCTGAACTACTTTATCTTTGTCGACTGAAACCAGGAGCCGTGGATGTGATGGATGAAGCGAAGCGACAAAATTGTCTTTCCCACTTGACGAAGGACTTGGTTAACTACGTCGTCAGATAACAGTGGTTTTTTCAACGGAGATGCTTCAACTGCAGTCCCAGGCGCATGATGATTAGTCTGACCTCGGACTAGTTTCAAGAGAAAATTGTCTGGAACGAGTCTTTTTTAAGAGCTTCAGAGGAACCCCACATGACGCTACCACCGTTACTTGCCACCTTGCGAATACAGGTACAAACACACACACCCAAACTGCCCGGTTGAGTGACTCAGGGTGTCGAAGGTGTGAGCATTTGTAGAATAATAAACCGACAACCTGTACTTTCTGTGAGAGTCTGTTTAAGTTTATTTGAAACGGAATTTGCACAACTCGATCCACGAATACGATCGCGCACAGTTCAAACATGAACCAAAGCAGGCAAAGTCGCCAAATATCAGCGCTGGAGTCAGCAAAGCGAATTGATTGGTGAACGACGGCATTCGCGGTTTTGGCGTATTCACAGTCTCCATGGAAGGCAACCTCCGAAACAGTCAGTGTCCATTCTGATTGAATGGATGTTTAGTTTAAAATTCATACGCTTTTGTACCATAGCATTTATCTTCATACCGAGCAACGATTTTAGGAGCCGAGATTCTAAGACACACTTTCTCAACTTCAAAATGGTTCACCCAGGGTGGCGTGGATTCGAAAATGACGATGAAAGCTGGAGGCATGTTTTTGTTTTCTTCAACAGCAAATAATTCAAAATTTAAAGGCCGATTAGCCAGAATGAATTCGATTCCGCAAACACTGCCAAAATGTTCTGAAATTTACTTTGGCTTAAATGCGTCAAAATGGTATGAAAAAAATTTTAACTTTGCATTTGAGCACCGAAAGAAGCATTTTCACTTGAAATACGACAAAGTTGTAGAACTCGGTAACCCACCAAACTCGCAGATGGTTGCGTTGGAAGTTGATGGTTCTCGGACACATGCGTCTTCAGGCTCTGGAGCGAGTGAAATGGCCGTAGTCGTGGCTACTTGGTCCAAATCCTGCCACGAACCCAGTTTCTGGAGGCATTGAAGAAGCTCCTCTCTGCAAACCAGGCGCAGTTCAGCGTTCAAGCCGCTGGGGCAAGTAGCCCAGGCGTTGTCATCGGAGTTGGCCTGAGCCTCGTCATCATTTGGATAGGTTGTAATCAACTTCAGGAAGAAAATTGGACCGAATAAGTCCAGGGATAAAAAGGCCTTGTATAGGCCTCTGGAAGACATCAAGCACTTACCTCTGACAGCTCCGAGAAGGCGCCTTCGTAATCGCCGAAGTCCTCTGCAAGGAGAGCCTCGCCGACGCATTCAAGGACGGATTTTTGCCAGTGCGGAGTCTTTGGATTTCCTGCCCACCGATCGCACAACCACCCGAGGATTTCATCACCTCGTTGGGCAGCAATGTAGAGCCGAGTGAGCTGCCACCAACAAGTCGAAGAAGACGACGGTTCTGATATCCCTTCGGTAGACAACAGGTCGATCTGCACATCAGGGAGAACGAACGAGGGAAAGGAAAGCGGGTAGATACGGCGTCGGCTTGCAGTCCAAGGTGTACACAGCGACAATTGGCGGCTACCGTTGGGTCTGCGGTGTTAGAATAACAGCAAAGAAACCATTGGTCAAGAGCGTGTGGATGCGTGTCAGTATGGCCTTAATCATACATTGACAGCGATAGGAAAGATCTCAATTTGAGAACAACGAGAAACAGTTTACAGCACGTTATGCTTTTGTAAAGGCCCTTCACCACTTACCTTCCAGAGGCGGAGACACACAATAGTTCCTCTAGCAAGAGAATACCCGCTGCAACTCTTCCTGTCGAGGTAGCACTTGCAACAATCAAAGAGGGTTCTGGAGCTAGGCAGAGAATTTCACCACTTACGCCGCTCAAATACCACACGAGGGATAGACAGAGGGGCACGATCGAGGCCTGTCCACTCGCCATTAGTCCCGCCAAGGCGCCTCCCAAGCCTCTCAGAAAGGACGCGCGCCGTGCGGTATGCGGTGAGTCGAGAAGAGACTCTAAGACGAGTGTCAGAATGACCGGACCACAGCCGCTGGCGGCGAGTTGGAAGAGCGGCTTGACGAAGCCCTCAGGTCGGAGGGCTTGGACGTCGGGAAGGGCACCGGGGCGGTGGCGACAGCAGAGGTGGGCGGTCGCCGGTCCGACGCAGTCGGAGTGGAAGAGCGTCGTGGTGTCACCGGCGATGAGGTTGAATTCAGCACGCTGGCGGTGTATGCTGCGCTGTCGGTAAAAACCACGCATAGCCGCGTCGGGTTGGGTAGCACCAGGAGCTGCCGCAGGAGCCTCAGTTGTGATTGTTGCAGCGAAAACCAACTTCTGACGAAGTTCATCTGCTCGAGAGAGCTACAAAAATAGAAATACCGCTAAGCGTGCTGGAAATATCAATTTAAAAATCCCAATGAAACAAAAGGGTACTTTTTGGGTCCAGTAGCCACAATTTTATGACATTTTCCATTGTGCGGATATGCAAGCAACGAGAAAATGGTCAGTTTGATTATTCGTAAAGACTTACTCGACTAACACACTTTCGCCAGTCCACCTGACTTACGAAGTTGTGCGTTTCGCAATAGAAAATCGACCAGCCAATCACCTTTTTCTCCTTCAATATTTCTGTCCGCCTTGCGTTTCTGCTCGATTGGACCTTAGGAACAGCAAATGCAGCCTGATCGACGCCAGAGAAGGAGGTGTCGGCGTTAGTGTGTGAGAATGACGACGAGGAGTAAGAAGAAGAAGAAGACGGAGGTGCCTGAGTTGCCATGAGTTGGGTGTCGGATGTCGTGCCCTCTGGAAACGACAGGGTTGCGGTTCCGGCGAGGGCGGCATTCGAGGCTTCTGATTGAGTCATCCAAATTTGGTGAATCCCACTCATCACCACTGGATCCAGCATCGAGTAGAACGGCGGGGCAGCTACTTGGACAGAACTGACATCAAAGAAAAAGACAACGATGACATTCACGTTGCCTGAATAGAATGTCCACATAGAGCATTCCTCCCACGGTTACCAGATAGCATTAATTGGTGTGCTTATCTATTTTGCAGAACGATCTGAGCTTGTGACTAAAAGTGGTCGGTTTGAAATCGAACCTGATCTTTAGTCATCTTTCATTGGATGATCTGCGAAGGTAATTTTATTGATCAACTAGAATACTAACAATAATTTAACCGCTATTCATGTCACGACATCTGTGCCAGTTCCGTCCACATAAATCTGTCTATTTGGTTGTGGGGTGAACAGAACTGTGGAACTAGAAATCCACATCTGTGCGTTGGGATCCGTGTCAGAGTACCAAGGTGAGATGTCTAGTAAACCTGGGGTTTACTAGACATCCATTACTAGTGGGGTTTGGAATGTGGACGAGGTGGCGCTGTGTTGAGGAGGTCTGTTGTTGAGGTAAACGCTTCAAGCAGATAGGAAAAGAGCAATTCCAAGACACAAGGATACTCGAACATATTTTCATCTTTGAAGCACCAACAACATCACACCATCGAGACACAGGCCCCGGTCGACTTTCAGGACTGCATTATGGGCAGAACTGTCGTCGAGGATGCGAATCAACCAGTTTTTCTACTTTGGGTAATTTTAACCAATGAAACGCCGGAACGGCTGGTAAACTTGAACTGCATCCCATAAATATCACGATTAACTTGCTTTGGTTGCATGAAAGGATAGTGGGGATCCAGCGGATTTTGATAGATGGGATACCGGAAATCCACCGACTTGACGGCTGGCTCCAGAATAATCTCTAAGCTCGAGGACAACAGTCGTGGCATAATTCTTTTCAGAAGAGGGCGGTCAGCCAGGTTACCGTGACGACCGCTGCTAAGCAACGCCAAAGCTGAGATGCAACGAGACGACGACTTGGGGAGGCCCTGGAGTGTCGCGTTGAGGCAGTGCTGCGACATGTGACGCCGAACCAGACGTCGAAGTTTCGCGTCCTCTTCACCGCACAGCCCATACGCCAAGCCCAGACTGCAAAGGTCCTGCAGAAGTATAATATTTGAATGAGAGCCAAATTGTTTGAATAGTACCGCTTTTGGCTAGGCCAATCCTAGCCAACCTTGACCACATTTAAACAAGTGCTTTCTAACTGAAAGCGTCTGACGGCGGTCTCGATAAGTGGCTGATGAAGCACACACGGTAGGATGTGGATTTCGGTCTAGATGTAACTCAACTGGACCAGTGCGAGAAAGAACTCCAGGCTCCAGGTTTAACGTCTCACCTTAATGGCCTTTTCCAGAGGTCCAGTGGATACATTGAGTGCCGTGACGAAAGTCCTGTAAGCGACGCGCCTCGAATCTGGTGTTGCATTTGGTCTTAAGAGAGCAGCCACCAAAGTTTGGACCAGCTGCAGAATTAGATGATGATATTTTTCTGTAGCGAAGTTCTCTGACGAAGCAGCGGTCATTGCAAACTGCACCAGTCGCAGGATCAGCAGTGTTCCGGTGAATAGCACAGCGGCCGTTCTTGAGGGTAAATGTGAGTTAAATAAAATATTGTTGAAAGCGGTCGTATGACTAGACACAGAAATCTTACCCCCGTCTAATTTGGTCCAGTAAATTTGAATTTGCCATTTTAGTGAAAATCTCCACCTTTGTAGATTCTCCGACGTGACGGGGAAATTTGCCCTCTGTCAAATCATGCGTCAGTTTCGCGAACATTCGAAGGCAATGCGAAAACAGAGCTGGTTCGATGTCATCAGGGATGCCAGCTATAAGAAGCGAGTTGGTCAGATGCAAGCCAAGTGCGGACCAATAGGACGCAGCCGCACAGGCTGCCTCAATCATCACTGTGATTGGTGCATCTGAAGGTCGGGTGCATCGATGAGCAGGGTTCAAATTGTGGACCCGAGACCACAACTCAGCCACCAGTGGATGGATGGCTGGCGGGAAACGGGATAGGGGAAGGATATCGATTCCATTGCTTCTTAAAACTTCGATCCCTTCATCGTCAAATGCCTCTGAGGGTGCAGCACACTTTGAGATGAGAAGGCCAGCACACTCCCAGACAACAACTACCAACGTCTTCTGGCTTTGGTGCATATGCTTGAGGATAAGATTTGCGAAACTAAACAGAATTGTTACAATTACAGCATCTTAAACTCACTGTGCAACGTCCAGATTATCATCCATGGGGTTAAACTTGTCACAAGAAGAAAGAACGGCTTTGAACAGGTGGAACTTGAACGCCGTTTGCTTGTAATCCTGACGAACTTGGAGCTCTGCTAACAGCTCACTAGAACGACCAAGTAACAACACAAAGATCTTTGCATACGAGAACAAAAAAATCAGTGTGAAGGCGAATCTAGTCCAATGCGAGTTTGCTTATGATGCTCCATGTTCGAATTGCTGATCGGATGGCTCAGAATTAAGCTGATTAAAAGCCATGGGATAAAATCCGGTTGCAAGATAATTAGGACGCTCGTGATTTATTGCGTCTTTGTTAGTACGAGGAAATTTCACCGTAAAACCTAATGTCGCACAACACAGTCAGTGATTTCGCATTCACAGACTAATGAGTAGCATAGAGAGTGTTAGCAAGAGAACAAGCGGATGTGCCAATGGGAATTCAGAAACAGGAACGCCAAGGAATCGGTGGCTTTTCACTTTGAAATGACGTCAAGTTTCACACAATTGGCCGCCTAACTGGCGATGCAAATATATCCTTACGTGTTCGTTATATTCCAGCAATTAAAGTGGTTGGTCTTGAGGGTGAAGTGACGTGTACGAATCGTTCCACTTCCAAAATTGGTACCTGATTAGTGTACACATTACTTAATCCACAATCGTGAACAGCCGATGACCGAAAAACTTAAGCAGGCAAAGGTTTGATTCGTCATTCATGCATGAAGATATCTTGGCATTTCAGTAGTATAGTTAAGCACGATTGCATAGGCACTTTGAAAGGCGGGAGAAGAGACGCGAGCCACCAGAAAGCGACCCACCGGTAGGGAATCGGCACGCCTGCGGGCAGCCACGCGCCAACAAGCAGGTCGAACAGCTCGAGGCTGAGCCTCGACATGGAGGGGTGTGGGTGGGCGTCGCCGGAGTGCAGCAGGGCGGCGAGCAGAGCGCGGGCCGTAGCCTTGGCGGCGTGCGAGTGGGGCGCGGCGTCGCCCGACTCACCCCACTCGCCCAGAAGCAGACAAATGTCGACGGCGAGCGAGGACAAACTGGCGGACGCCTTCAGAACGTCTGCTCCGGATGTGACGAAGGCCAACAAGACGGGGAGCCAGAGCCTTGCAAACGGCTTGAACACCTGAATGTCATATGTGGTTCAATACTAATAACATGGAGTCGATCAGCTTACATTCCATACTAGTTTAGCTTTCTTTCCCTATTCTAATCTAATACATTCTACTGATTTGTGAAGAGTAGTGATAATTCTGGAACCTTAATGACCATATTTTAAAACAAACCTGTCAGAAAAATATCCACTCTGATTGCATGGCAGTGTTCAAAAACACTGGTCTATTATCATCAGGCTAGTAACAGCTGGTTGACACTAGGTCCTTCACAAAAGTAGCCTACTGATAAGTTATCAGTAACCATGTAATATTCGGCGAGGTCCAGATGACTGAGGAGGACAAAATTGGAAGAGCGTTTGAATTACCTCGGTACAATTGATTACAAGTTTTGCAATGAAGGCGCGAACATTGTCGTTGGTGGCGGAGGAGGTGAAGTGATCATAGAAGTAACGCATAATCGCAGGCATATCATCACACGTCACTCCCTTTGTGAAATAACCGGAAGAAAATGATGCGATGAGAATATAAGGTGAATATCCTTCCACACGTTACACTGACCTTTTTACTAGGCACGGTCTTAAATATTCCTCGGTGGTGCATGTGCTTCAGGAGGCTGACGAAACACACCATCGGAGAAGTTGTGTTGAGACAGTCAACCTCCAGGTTAACGTGGACATTCAGCGGTTCCGGTTCCTGGATCGTGTCTGCCACAGCAGCTGCTGATTTCGATGGACTGATGGGTTTGACGAATTCCTTCACCGCATTCGTTGCCTGCATAATCTGAAGTTTGAGGAAAGTGAAGGCGGAACTAATCATAGATAGTCCGAAAAATGTCCAGGCCGAACTAGCTCTACCCACGGCACCCATTCGAACCTCCTTTGTCTAGTTTAGATTGATTAAACACACATATTACTTTTATTATGTCAGTAGAAAGTTATTTCTGTCGAAGATAATGGTGGGAAAATTCAGTTTGGAGTTATTGACTTAGGTGAAACGTCAACATGGGTTGGTGTACCTGAGTTCCCGAAGTCCTTCTGAAACGATTTATCTCAACGGAGAAACTGCTTGTCTGAAGGAGGTCACTGCTCGTCCGTCGTTGAGTCGACGTTCCACTGGAGAACGCCTGCTGCCTTCGTGGTGAGTCAGAGTTTGCACTACCGAAACCGGGCTCCCTTTCCGAGGGCAGCCAAAACTCCTCTCGCAGCTCGACGAAAGCCGATTTGTATTTTCCAGACCTCTGAAAAAATGTGCTCCAAGAGTCATTTGCGCATGCTAGGAGGAGATAGTATTGATCGGAAGGGTTGTGGGCTCTACTGAAATCGCACGATCTACCACGGTTCCCGCGAAGTGGTGCAAGATAATCACCACTTCAGCGTCAATACCCGGGATTTTTTAACCAAAAATTTGAAAACCTTCGTGGAAATGTGCGTCTATCTTACAAATACGGTTGGAACATGCACAAGTACACGAAAAGTTACGCGAATGACTGATGGTCTGATTGCAGACTACAGACATGATGATGACCATTCATCAATTCCCAAATCCATTGCACTAAAAGCAATAACGGCGCAAACTACACAGGCTGGGTGATATGCGGTAGCATCGCACGTGACTTGACTAGGAGACGTAGTGGGGAAGAGGTCTCTTACTGTTCTGGGAAATCTCAATTCCACGGAGTCCGGAAGGAGGCGAGGAAGGAGGTCGGGGATGAGGACGTAGTTGTAGAATTTCTCGGAGATCTGGGTCGCGCTCACAGCGGCCACGAGGCAGGACAGACCAGCCGCCCAAAGTCCACGTCGCAGCGTGTCGGCGCACGCCATCATCTCGGCGTCGTGGTGAAGGTGGACAAGAGTTCGGGACTGTAGAGTATCCTGGAGGATGATGTGGGCCTTCCTGAAGGAACAAGCGCGACCTCAGGCAACACTGCGGAGGCTCAGCAAACTTCTCAGGGCAAGGGGGAAGTGACCTCATGGTCCAAAAGATACAAAAGTCTCAGACCCACCTAATCAAGCAGGCTGTCAATTCTGTTCCCTTGACTTGAGAAAGACCGGGTCCGTCGGTTTTGTGCGGACCCAGAAAAGCCCTCAATACGGATCCAACACCGTCAGGTACCATTCCGTGGAGAATTGTCTTCGACAATCTGTTGTAGAGCACTGTAAAGATCGATAGGATGACCGTCTGAGTCAGCACGCCCCAGAGCCACTGCGTCGCGGTGTTCGGACAGTCCAGGCTGCACTCCAGGCATTCAATGCACTTGCTGACGTTGCGGACAGCGAATCTCTCAAGAGCGCTCGCGCCCACAGACAGGAGAAGGGGTCGAAGTACCTTATTGAAGTAGTTATGCCAGAGCTTAACGGAGCCGATGGATGAATGAGCGGTTCTTGTGGCCACATCAAATGCCTCCACGGCCGATGAAAGCAGCTTTTCTTGAGCCGCTGGTCGCAACCAGAATCTAGCGGAATGCAGACAAAGATTTAAGTCACAGACTGGGCAGATGCGTGGTCGTGGCATGCCAGCACTTGCCTGGTCATCGCCGCCTTCAAACTCCCATCGAGGTCTTCGTCCATGAAGTGGTTCTCACGACGGCAAAAGACGGTTGATGCGATGTGGACGGCGTCGGCGCAACCCGTTGTCTCGACCAGCGAGAGAATCTTAACGGTTCAAACATCGTAAACAGGGTCAGACAGACCCTGTTTAAGCGTAGGGAGCATTGTAGCGAGTTGGCCTCAGCCAATCGAGAATAACGATTCATCGAAGTTAGATTGCGACAATGAGTGAGGCAACGCAAATTTGGGAGATGGCCAGATGGCAAGAAGAATGCGGTCAGGCAGGTGCAGCACAGAAGTCAAAACCTACACATGCTATCGACCCAATTGCACCGAAATGAAAATTTCGTTCTGCTGATCATTAGTTTAAAAATTTTGACAATATTAGTGATCTACGCGTATACCTCACCATGTATCAGCACGTCATAGAGTTAATGTGCTTAGCCACACAATATTTTAACATTAACGAGAAAGCATAAGAGTATTTTTGTCTTGTTCGCATGCAATAGCCACATTTATACAAGAAGTAATGGGTTTTCGCGAGGTCTTCCTTTTCGCTACAGGAGTGCACAGTTCACGTGCGCTGATTCGCCGATCATACGTTAATTCGGAAAAGCATGCAGATGCGGCCGAAATTTGAAGATAGCGTTTGTGTCCAACCTTCAAATCGTCATTGCTAAGAACCGGATTTGGTAATATTGACGACTTAAATTACATTGATTGCCTTTATTAAAACACACAAGTTTGGTCCAATCAGCTGAGAGCGATGAGAGGTTTCCCTTTCAGGAATCACAACCGCATTCAAACAAACGAAATTGTTCCCTCGTCTATTTCAAATTATTGTAAAGAAGCGTTGAACAAATTAGCGATTAGAATCATCCGGTACTACTTAATTGTGGGATTTAAGGTTGCGTAGGAAACTCGCTCCGTGGACTAGGTGGAGTCAACCTGCTAGGATGAGTAATCAGGCCCTCATAGCCAATGACGGCAGAGTTCCAAGATGGTGAGAATACGAAGTGTTAGTGTTGAACACGGATGACTCACCGATCGTAGCATAGCGGTGCAGTCGGCAAGTTTTTTCGGTGAACCAGCAACTTCTTCTCGATCCGTGGGAAGAGTGGAGGCGAGAAGGAAGCAGACGGCCTTGACAATCTCGGCTCTCCGGTCATTGGTCAGAGCGTAGTTCGCTGGAATGACCTCGAGTTGCAGGAAGAAGGCCAGCATGTCAAGTAATTTCATCTACGTCAGGAGTTAGAAGTCATTGTGAGTGGTCAGGAGGCGAGGCAAGACAGTCGAAGAAGAAAAATCATGCCAATGAAAGCGAAAACCATGAACATAGACACGAAATGACACAATTGACATTACTTGTAATAGAAATAAACTTCAGAATTCGAAAATTCGATTCGAAATAATTGTTGTACCTTCAAAGTGGAACTTGGTGACTCGGTACCAAGCAGGTTCAAGTAGCTGGTAACAAAGACGTTTCGATCCAAATCCTGAAAAAGTAGAACGTCAATAAAGTAATTATTGCAGTCTGTATAACAACAAACAGACAGGTACAATCAGAAGTGAATGGAGTTGAATGTCTACTGTTTCTTGGAGAGGTCTGGGAACTGTTACGATTTCTTCGAATACATCGAAATTTCTGCCAAACTTAAAACTGTCAAAGTTGTGCACATCTGCGGTTATGTCGACTGTACTAACTTAGATAATTCAGGCTACAGTGAATTGCAGTGTTTGGGGATGCCTGAAATCAAACGTCTGTAGTGCCCGAATTTGTGGCAGTCGGTTTCTTTTGATAGATTCACTTGACCTTGACCCGACCAATGGATTAACATCAAAATCTGATTGGACAGAGTGAGTGGTCTCAAATTGTGATAAGTTCGTTTCATCAAGGTTAGTTACAAGCCAAACCAAAGTCGCCACGATGTGTACCAACTAAATGCGTGGCTGCTTTCAGTCGTTGCATCCATGGAAACCTGGAGCATTCAGGGGGGAATGGTGAAACTTCGACATGATGAAGACGACAACAACGTTGTGTATAGACGAATGTCAGTCGCAATACAAATGCAAGGTGTGTGAAAGGCAGACAAAAGAGCAGGCCATTTTAATGGAAAAGAAATGTTCACTAGAAGAGCACTTGCTGAGTTGGACGTTGAAATTATCGTCTCAAGTAGATCGGCACACAATTCTTTGTCGAGCCCCGGTAGCACAAGCAGGGGATCAACGCGCTTGTTCCATACATTGGCTATGCTGTCACAAAGCTGGCCAGGACGTTGCCTAAAATGTGCACAAACTGGCTGCAAAACGTTGACCAATGGGGTGCGAATTTCAACGAATAACAGTAATTTGTGGATGAAGCATCACGATACAAATGTTCTTGCTAACGCACTCGTGTGACGCCGCATCCGCCTTTCGCGAATATGGATTAAGCAACTTGGAAAGCATCGAGAGGAGTACGTTGGGGTGCGTCGACAATGTCAGACTTCCTTCACCGACATCCACTAGCTCTAAGAGATTGCTTGGGGTCAGGAAGCAGTTGCCTGATTGGTGGATTATGTCGGAGAGCAGGTCAGTGGAACATGATATCTAGAAGCGGTTGTGATAATAGGAATATGTTTACCTTGTAACCAAGGCTAGATGCGATGAGGAGGATGGCTTGAATGAGTTCTGCGAAGCTATTGGAAAGGCTGAAGGCCTTCTAAAGACGATTTAGCGTGAACAGACAAGCAAACTTGCCCTCTCAGCCAACTCAACAATCTGTTGGCACATTGCCACAGAGAAATACTCAGAAATCATCCCACAAATGACATTATTACCCCTGACTGTGTCTAAAAGCCTTGACACACTGCGAACAATGGAGGCAAAGCCAGTAATAGAACCGGGCAATGAGTCGTCGTCCGCTGATTGGTTCAACCACGGTGGGTTGAATTGGGCTCCCGCATTGGTCAGTCTGGATTGCAAATCGGTATAAAAAGTCACCTAATACCCATGTGATTGAAGTATCTGGCGCAGAGAATTAAGGGTTGGTGTCAAAAAAGTCGAAGGGAGCTGGGCTAAAACTTCCAAGGCCTAAAAACTTCACTTGTCTTAATGCAACTCACTAGTTTACTGTTCTTATCATCAAGTCCAACAGCCTGTGGTCTAAGAAGGCAGTGAGCAATAAATGCCCACGGTGGATGAGCAGAGTGGAATACCACACTGATATCCGCGCTCGACCTTGAAGTGAGAACCTTGTGGATGAAATTGAGTGTCGCCAGCGAGCAATCTTTGTGTGGTCTAAAGAAAGTAGCAATGAAATAGTCGCTAACCTCATTGGCGCAGTGCAGTATTTTCCAACAGCAGCAAGAATTTTACTAGAAGGTGCTTGAATTGCAGCGTGGAGACTTTCGGACTGCATCAGACCGGAGGAAAGAACCCAGGAGTAGCTTTCGAGGCAGTGGACAAACCCGTGGCGCGAATTAGTGTCCCATTCAAACCTGCCAAATAATGAAATATCATTTCTACTCAATAGTGTAAAGTAACAAGTAAAATATAACCAATCACATTGAAATAATCCGGCCACTGTCTGAAAGAATACGTGGGCAAACGCGACTGGCAAACGAGGAGGCCAATTGTTGAATAAGTTCCCGAAATAAATTTGCATGAAGAGTGTCACGGGAGGCCAGCAGCAATGATTCCACACAGGACGAAACTGATGCAGATTCCCATCCACGAGGTTTGAGAGGTTCAACAAAGGTAGTGTGCGATGGTGCTGCGCACACTCTTGTCAGCTTCGGCAACTTTCTAGGCAATGGGTTCTCATCGTCTAACAAAATAATGTTTGGATATTTCATCGACAGTCTAATCAGTAGTTCCACCGATTTCTTTAGAGCCGCTGTGGTCGAATTTTGATTGGATTCTAGAAGAAGCGTTAAAAGATTATGCGATGTACCTGGTGAAATAGAAGTTGTGAACACATCAATAAAGAGGTAGATATAGCGGGTGGCTAATTCGGTGCGCTCACTAAAACAAGTGGTAAATAATTATTACTTATCTTACTTTAGTAGAGGGGAAATTGCGTAGGTGAAAGCGAAGGAAGCCCCTTCCTTTGGACACCCACGATCGCGACAAAGTCTTTCAATAAGCTGTTGCAAAAATTCCTCAACAGGTGGGCAATTAGAAACGGACGAAGAGCGTTTAAAGGCATCTGGAGAACCAGGAACCCGAGGACCCATCCACTCCACGTAGTGCCGCAGGCATTCGGCCGCAAGTTTACGACGTTCAAATCGAACCGCGTCTTGTGAGAAAATACATGAATGTCAAGCAACCATGAACTCACCTGGTAATAAAAAATTTTTATCTAAGAAACAATAGATGTCGTCCTCGGGTGAGGTAAGGCTGAGTATTCGTAAAATCGTTTTTTGGAGCACTTTTGCAATGCACCGGCTGGCTATTGGATAGCCCGCAAACCAGTGAACCAATTGGAAGGCAAGGCATCTAAAGAGACGTCGAATCAGCTAAACAGACAAAAATCGATTTTAATGCCAATTGGGAAAATGCGAAATGTGTTCGAAGAGGCAATTACCAGATCACTATCGGACCCTAAAATGAAGGTAACGTGAAAGAGAAGAGACCAATAGTCTAAGTCGCTGTTACTGAGTGGATCAGCAGGGGTTTCGGACACAGTACGTTGATTGGCCAGACCAAGAATGATAAATTCGTGCAAATACTCGGCCGCGCATATTCTTGCATGGCACGAAATTCCTGCAACAACTAGAATGGACAAATTTGACGATAAAAGTTAGGAAAAAAGTTTTAAAACAACGAAGTGGAAAGTGGTTACCTTGGTTTGTTGAATTAATGACAGATCTTTGGCGCCAGAGAAGAATGGCAAGCAGTTGTGTAACTAAACAACGATCCGAAAGTCGAAGATGCGATTTTAAATCCGGAAACGGAAGAGACAACTTTAAGTTGTTAAAAATGCCATCACCATCAGGTAAGAGGGGTGCGAAAAAGTTTTCATTTTGTTCTCTTTCCTCTCGAGAAAGCTATATAAAATTATTACGCAACAATAATAACGCACCGAAGTTAGGAATTTTGGACGCGATGCATTTCGACCAATCATCTGAATAAGTCTGGTTTGTGCTTCGCCTATTGGGTGGTCCAAGGTCATTGCATTCGGTCGCCTTGTTATGGCCCTCAGGGTCTGAAGCAATCTTGCCTTGTGCGGAGAATGGCGCGATTTTTGGCCAGTGAAGGGCTTAGCGAATGAATAATCCCTGGTGGTGCCGGGATCGTAGCTAATCTCTAGTATTCCCACTAAGGCTGGTACAAGAGTTGCAAAGACGATGGCGTGAGTCACCCTGTCCGATTTGACCTCTGTGGCAGGACGAAGGGGTGGAAGTTGACGGAGTTTTGAGTAGCGGTAGACAACAACTGCAAACTAACCCGCTAACCAGGACTCGACTGCGCACACGAGAGTCCCAGCTAAGTGAGCGCATCGTCCATGCAAACGGACCAACAGCGAGGTAGAAGCCACAACCCGAGCCAGCTTTAAGCAGAGGCAGTCAACTTCGGAGAGCGGGAAGATCAGGAGAGGCAGGCTGAGGAGGCACGCACACCGGGAAACGCAGAGGTCATCGGGCAGGAGACCCTTCGCAGTCTGAAGGCTTGCTAGCAGAGACGTCGCGAACGACCTCAAGCGAGCTAACTCCTGGGTGTCGTCTGGCAAGTCTACAAAAACGCGCGTTCACTGTTGATTCGAGTTGTACACAGAAAGTGTGTGTGACGCAGCTTGAAAAAGTTGCAGTTGTTCAGTCGAGGGTGAGGTGGAGTGTGGTTTGAAACAATACGCACGTCTATACTTGCAAACACACCCTCAGACATATTCATGCTTGAATTTGAATTCGGTGGCTCTGCTTTCGCACGTATGATCAAAGAGTAAAAATTGCATGAGGAACATTTGACGCGTTTCCTGGTACGGATGTGTGATTAACTTGGCCAGCGTGATTTTTTCCCCTTTCATAGACGAGCCTCGATCGGAGATGTAAACAAAACGAGTTTTTTTAAAGTTATCCAGCTAGGAAATTTGCACAATTCAGTTGTTAACGTCCAACGATTTCAATGACATTTAAAGTATGGATTGGAGAAGAAATCGCGCGAATGGGTGTGTGTACGAACATGTGGGTCAGTTTCTGATTGGTTGATACATCGCAAAGTGAAGTCGGAAAATGCGTCAAATTCGGGTGCGTCTGTTTAGCGTTAATTATGATCTTTTAAACGAAACTAAGACTTTTAGTTATTCGAAACAATAATACTTTGGTGAAATCAGCTCCAATTGGACAACTGGCCTGCGACACACAAACACTTCGCCAGAAACGACATTGCAAAATTGCACAACAATATTACTAAATGTGCATTTTGGCATTGCTGGGGGCACCTGTTCCTTTAACTGAAAGAAGCTGTACACATCCGACTTGACGAAAAACCCCATTCATCGTGCCGAATGATGCATTCCGTCCAGGTCGTGGGTGTTCGAAGATAGTGGAGAAAATTACGCATGAATTTTGGCAAAATCTTCAAGTTTAGCTAATCTGTAAAGCCCTAGGTAAGGAATAAAGCGCCGAAATGAGTTTAGACAGTCATAGTGTGGTCATCCACCGCGTCTAGCGCCGTAAATATACCTCCCAACGCTATGGCGAGAATCTCTACATGGAAGGTCACCTCCGAGGGTCTTTGAACCGAACCACGAGGGGATTCGAGCTCAACTCGCTACTGGATGATGATGATGATGATGACGATGATGACCGTACGTGTCCCAAAGGACAAGGCCACTGGAAGACGAAGTTAATACGTGCATAGTTAATTCATCGTGTGGTGCGTCGATGCTATGGAAGGCAGTACCTGTGAAGTATCCAGAGCGCCTGGCAATTGAAATGCTCAACGCGAGGAGACGGTATAGTCCACTCAGCAAAGGGTACCTGCAAAAGGCACAAGTCAATGTAAAGAGCAAATATTCGGTCCAGCGTATCCATACAAGGTGTTCGCTCTTGAAAGCCCTCTTTAATATCAGCGAAATCCAACACAGCCAAACAAGCTGGACATATCCCCCGTTTCCATATTGTCTTGCCTGTGTAGGAAACAGGGCCAGGAAAGCTTATGAATGACAGACTAATTGAAAATTAAAGAGGAGAACTGGTAGAACATTGTTTCAAACGACAAATTGAACGTGATTACTAGCAGGAAGATAATTTTGCTCCATATCCATGAAAAAAAATTATTATTTGAAGACAGACAGGTCAAGTTGAAGGGTGCTCGGTTTCTTAAGAGATACCATTTGGTCTGAAGAGAACACATATTGGTTGATATTTTATAAAATCAATAGCGTGCCAACCAATCAGAGCCTTTCCAGCAACACCATATGCAAACAAGCCCTGGATTGGTTTAAATGTCGATTTTCGGCCCCAGTATGACAGTACATCGTGTAAATAAGTAGGTCTTTAGACACATGACTTATTGATAAATTTAGTTATGTGAAAATTTGAGCATTTATTTAGCTACAAACTGTGATGCCAAGTTGAATTTCGTGTATCATGCTCGCATTTGTCATTTCCATGCAGTTCAACAAGATTGTAGTGTTTATGGAGCGGATCTTGACACATGACTTGACTCGTTGGTGCTTCACCCCAAGCCAGTAATCCATCTATCTGTCCTAAAAATGATCACAAAAATAACCACAGAAGATAAATGTTTATTCGTCGTGCTGAGGCATTTGAGCGTCTAACAAAAATTGGCCTTTTGGGAATTTGATCTGACCTTGAATTGAATCATGTGATTAGTTTTATTGGGCGCGCCATTTGGACCTATCGTAGTCTCGGGCGATCCCGCCTTCCTCTAACTCTCCTGAGGCCAGCCACTTCCTCCACATACGCTACCCATCTCCGGAACCTTTATCTTCATTCGGTAGTTTGAGGCTATTCCAGGTTCTCAATATTCCTAGCATTGTGTTGTGTGTCTGATAGCCAGCTATGGTCGCGTGGCTATCCCCAAACAACAGTCTGGCATAGTATAACCTCGTCGTGATTGGCAACACTGAAGCGGTTTAATGGCAATTAGTGAAATTGCGGATCAAAAAGAAACTTCTTTTAAAGTTGAACCAAAAGTTCAGTGGTGGACTTACTGGTGCGTTTCATTGCCTCGCCTCCACTCGCCTATCAACAACGAAATTAGAACGCTCGGTTGTGGTCAATAATACGCACAAAGTTTTTGCGGATCCTGCTTCAAAACAGATCATAACAGCAAAAAATAAGTTTGAAGTGGAAACTCACTTTTCAGTGAGGTCGAGACACGATTGTAGAAAGGGAGCAATGGTGTTGTCGAAAAAGGAGGTCGGGCACTCGGGCAAAAGTTGTCTAAGTGGAAATGCAATAATGTGACACCTCAGATCATACTACATAGCAGCAAATCGAAAGGTCTGACTAGCAGCGTGTGTAGGCAAGTTCATCTGACGAAATGCCGCCTTCAAAGAACTTCGACCTAACAACTGGCGAAAATGTTGCACTGATTCAAGAAATACCACTAACATGGTTGGGGCATTTCACCTTAAAGGAGGCGCCTACTGAAGATTTGTCGTGGAACGAGAAAACCAATAATAATTCGAACCTACTCGAGGAATGCAGCAATGTTGGAAGGCAGAAGCACGTCCTGCGGATTGCTCACAATAACACGCGGCTCGGCCTCGGCCACAGTCTCGTTGGGCGTGTTGTACGAAAAATCCAATCGCTTCAAAATCCTCAGCACAGAGGACAACAGCAGTCGACAGACCAGTGCCGAGGTGTCGAGATTCCTGCAAGGCTTCTGCCCAAATTGAAAAAAAAGTAGCTGATCAAAGAACACGTAACAATTAAAAACTCCATGGCCTTGAAGTGTCTCTTCCGGCTTCCGAAGATTCGTGAGATGCCAGTTACCGTATTCAAAATGCTTCTGACCTACTTGATCGCAAATTGTTAATCGGTTCGGAAGAGAAATTGGTCCTATTTAGGTACACATAGACGAGTGACAGCTGGTGCAGATAGCTCATTTTGAAAGCGCAGTTGGACTATCAGGACGACATAACGACTTTAAGCATCAGAGAATCCTACGTTACCTCCTTTTTGAAGCCTGAAGGCAGTCCCAGTAAGTACCTCCATAGAGGCAGGTATTCGCGGAAGGATATCCGGGACATCACTGAATCCCCGGGAGAAGCGCCACTGGTTGTGGGACTTGGCTGTCGGATCGACTCCACATCGCTCTCAAGTGCCTCGGAGTCCGATTCACTCTCGGGGTCACGCGATTCGCTGATCTCAAGGTCAAACGGTGCGTTGGAGCAGGTCAACAAGACGGCATGGTAAACTAAATGACACAGAAGATTGCTAGACGCCGGGAGAACTGTTAAAGTCACAAGATATAAATAAAATCACAAAGCATTTGCCTTGGGAACAGGGAGGTGCCATCAACATTAAGGGAAATTGTACAGATAGTCTGTACCAAATGGAGTGTTTGTTCATTGTGGCTTGGATTATTGAATTATGACCTAGAATCGCTGATCGCGACAGTATAATAGAAAAGTCAACAAATTTACTACTTGATTCGTCATGTCATTCAGGCACGACATCTTAGTGTAAATAAGGATGCAGCTAGAGGGACATCAAAAGCAAATGAAGAGGCCAAAGTATTTAAAAGGCATGAACTGTTTTAAGCGCTCCCTTAAACGCTCACATGGTAGGTATACGATTGTTTCTGGAAACGAGAAAACCTTATTCCTGTTAAATCAGTGGATCAAGCAGAGCGCGGAGCCTCAGAAACCCATATGAAGGGAATACGAAGCAGAAACAGATCATGTGGAAAAGTGACATGTTTTTTTCCGGAAATAACCTGAATATCTTCTAAAGTGTTCCGTGTAACTTTGCAAATATTGTAGAGAATGAATAATGCAGTGAGGCCCGAACATGAATACCTACAGACTTCGTCGAGTAGCTGAGTGAAATCATCACCGGATTTGACAGAAGCATTAGCGAAGTTATCAATCATGTTGAATATTGAGTAGCCGATGTGTTCAGCCAATCGGAAGGAGAATCTTGGGTAGGCCTCGAAACTCAAGATGACTGCGCGGTTAAGGACTCGAGAAATTGACAACGAGGTTACTTGGGAGGATCTTGAGGCCAGCAAATTAGCCGCAGACTCAATTAACTCAGGAAGCCAGCATGCACTTTGGGGTCCGAGATTACCCGAAATATCATCGACCAACTGAGTGATTTCGTTCATTACTCGGGAAAGAAGTGCGAGTGCTTCATGAACTGAAAAAAGCTCTTCATTTATCTAACAATAAAAAATTGGTGTTGGTTAAATAGACAATACAATCTATTTGTCCCATTTGTAATTAAAGATTGGGTACTTACTTTAGTTAAAATGCTCAAGCCTTTTACGCTGAAACAGATCTTTGTCGGTGTACGATTTTCGTGAGACAATAAATCAATAAGATGGGAGGTTAATTTTCTCAAAAATGCAGCCCTGGAATCGCTAAAGTTTGCGTCGCTACGAGTAGGATTTCTATAACACATTAAGAGAGAGAAGTACGCCTCGCGCGCTGCATTGGCCAAATGTGAATTTCTATGATCAGCCAACGTTTGGAGGTGGAGGATAATAGGCTAAGTGCAAAATGTGCTGTTTAAGAATTACACCAGATTTAACAGCATAATAACATGAAATTACAGTTAAATGCACAAATTCCATTCTTAGTAACAATAAATATGAAGAAAGTTTAGGTACCCACCCTTTCTTCTTCCAAAAGGAATTTATTAAAATGGATTGAGCACCTTCTTAAAAGTTTGCAGGCACTTAATATTGGTTTATATTTCTTTAATGTATCCAGATCAGTCAATAAAACTTCAACAGCATAGGTGTAACACTTTTTTACGTCTAGAAATTACAGCAATAGTATATCACAATACCTTCATGCTGTGATGTTCTGTTTTCTATACAAAGTATCTTCGAAAGACTCGAAAGTGCTGCAGATATTGAAAGATGTTCCGGCCTTTTTGCTGGTTCTGTGATTTTTCTCGACAAGAAAGACACACGATAGGACAATAAACGTTCTCGGTTTGACGACGTAGGCGTGGGAATGCGCGAAACAATAGTGGCCAGCGATAGACAGAGAGCACTGCCGACGGTCTGAACTTGACGTGCTGCCAACTGAGCAAACAAATGCGCAGAATACATTCCGAGTAAATTTTCATTTATCGAATCTGTGGATAAACGGTTAAGGGCCTAAGCTGTCACAAAATGTTAACATTAAGATTACCTTACGGAAAACGCGTAACCAAGACGTCTTTAATTTGGCCGACTTAGAGCACATAAAACCAGAAAACGCGATTTTCTATAGCTTATAATTTATATCAATTGTACCACAATTTTTTCATAATGGCTGATGCATTGTTCCGGGAATAAAAGCATAACATCCAATAGAAAATTGCAGAATGATACCTTAAAATCTTCGCACTAAAAGTTTTATATTATGGAACACCCAACCTCAGCAGGCTGCCTTAATACTGAAAATAATTTAAATCTAAAAGGTGGCTTGAAACCATCAATCAGAACAGATTCTAGCAAATGTTTTGTAAAAAATGCTTGGCAAAAGTGTGTGTACCAACAATCCCCGAAAAAGAGAGTAGTTTCTCCTTCAGGTTTCCCAACAATATAACTGCCTCTTTAAAGTCTCCCTTTTCAACAAGTTGGAAAATATCATCAATATCACAAGTGATGTGCATCCTTATATGTAGCATCGACCAAGTATAAAGGAATTGCGCGGGTGTTTGGACCTGCGCTAGAACATAAAAAATGGCCTTGAGAATTAAGTTTTTTCGTCAATAACTGGATTTACCCTAAGAACTCTGTCCAGATAGGTGCTTTGTAATATTTTTGTTATTCTTAACAGAATAGTATACCTGATAATATTTCGAGGAAAAGGCTCATGGAATATCGTTTTTATTGAATGATTTCGATTTGCTATGATGTCCCGTTATCTGATTTTCACGTATTTTAATATTTTGAATAAACTACCCTTAATATTAAGGATAATGATACAACAGAATAGGTTTTATTGGCCAAAAACAAGCCACAACCAACCTTTAGAGGGTACTCTGCACATTAAGTAGTGCTTCCCATTCATCCTTGTCTCCGGTTGGCTGCTGATCTTTAATGAAAGCCACTCAAACGTACAAATAAAAATGATTGGTGACGGTCGATGTGATCCAATACCTCTGGCCTTTTTACGTCATTAAAATAAAAATGTATTTTAGGAAATAATAAGGCTTTATCTATAATATTTTGAGTAAAGCCATAGCAACCACAAACAGCCTTTACTATGGGCATTTCTTCATCAGCTAACAGGTAGGCTTAACATGGCTCTTTGGTAACCTGTCCTAGTGTGCAACGTGGTCATGGCTTTAACAATTTCTGTGTCTAAAACATTTGCTATTCACAAATTTTCTTCACAGAATGAGAAAGAACTTATATTTACTGAGTAACGTTAATGGTTGCAAGCCATTCATGTGAGTCGTGTGCGATTTAAAAAATAACAATCAACTACATAACAAACATGTGGCTAATTAAAATTTTATTTGACGTTGCTTCTCAAGCGAAATCTATCTGTTCTCCCCAATAATATTCTCAACGTTTGTGTGTTTTACTGCATAATCGAAAAATTGAGCACATAAGACAGATACATTATATGAAATTGAAAGAAATATATTCCTCAAGTTGACTTAGTTTTGAATGCCTTAGCAACACTATAGCTTAATTAATAGTTGGATAGTCATAATATTTTTGAATTTGTGAAGTAATGAAAGTTAAATTTACGAAAAATTACTGCTTCCACCATTGAAAAGACAAAGAGCTTTAAAATATTAAGTAGATAGGTTAATAATATCTGGTTCCCTCACTTTCATAACATGAAATAGTATCTGTTAATGTATTATTCACAAATGCAATCGAAGCAGATTGATATAAAATTGCATACATGTTTAGCTATAACCGAAACAGTAAGATTGTGACTATTACTCGTCAAAAATAAATAGCGAATATTTTGGATAATTGGATTATTAGGAAAATGTGTGTTGGTGCAGACGTTTAAATGGCAAATTTCACACCTATTTCTACTTCATTTAAGTCTTCTTAATTATCTGCGCTCAACTTAGTTCTGTGTTTCAATGGTCATTCTGCCGGGCAATGGATGACCATGAGTTAGATGAGCTTGCTAAGGAACTTGAAGCTGATCATTCAGAGCTTTTTAAGTATATCGACAAAGAAGTTGAGAAAAAAACGACAACTTTTAATGTTGATGACTACACTAAAATCACAAAGGTCGGACAGGGCACCTTTGGAGAGGTGTTTAAAGTTCAACATAAAAGGTCAAAGGAGGTATTCGCCCTGAAGCGTTTAAAGATGGAGAAGGAAACAGAAGGAGTAGATAATTATGTTCGTTCATTCTACTTGGTAGTTCCCTGTCACCGCTCTACGAGAAGTGCGTATTTTGCAATCACTTCGCCATGAGAACATTGTTGGTTTGCGTGGGATATGCCACAGACGGAGTATGTCGTCTTACTTATTCTTACTAAAGTTTTAGGCAATAGTTCCAGTAATTACCGATACGAATTCTTTCTGCTTTTTGACTTCTGCGACCACGACTTGGCTGGACTGCTTAGTCAGAAGGTGGAGATTAATTTGTCAGTGAAGAAAGGGATCGCAAAACAGTTGTTAACAGGAATAGGTTTTCTTCACAGGTGGCTGTCAAATGTTTGTGGTGTTCGGCCTATTGGGTGATGCGTATATTGTTCGTTTGTTTTTGTTTCAGTCACAATATATTGCATCGAGACTTAAAGGCGTCAAATATATTGATTGATCGAAGCGGCCACCTGAAAATAGCAGATTTCGGTCTTGCCCGCCTTACAGTGACTCCATGGCGATCTGGCAGACGGGCTCATTACACGGCGATGGTGGTTACCCTGTGGTACCGTCCTCCGGAAATCCTATTAATGGATCGGTCTTATGGAAAACCTGTTGACTTGTGGGGCGCAGGATGCATCATCGCTGAACTGTGGACACGTTGCCCACTGATGCAGGTACATTATTTAGCTAACTCTGAAGTCTTGTGGGTTTGTGATGTATTTGGAGATAGCTAGGTTTTGATAATATCTGATTGAAGATTAAGATAACTGGCTTCAGAAGCCCACTTTATTAGTATGAGTTTTAATGCGCGGGTAATTTGTGCTTGGTTTGCTGTCTCAGCTGTGGTCGTTTGTGCAATTTCAAGCAGCGTGCATGGCATTTTTGTGTGGCATTTGACATGGTAGTGATTATCCAAATATATATGTTTTTAATGGCTTTGTAGGGTGATAACGAAATGAATCAATTACAGTTGATTATCAACCTGTGTGGGTCCTTCACACCGTCTGTTTGGCCTGGAGTAGAACATCTGGAGGTTTTCAAGAAGACAAGATTTCCTATGGACACGCGTCGGTGTCTACGAGAAAAACTGTCTGCTTCAATCCCTATCTCCACTTGCTCTTCGGCCATAGATCTGATAGACAAGCTGCTCGTGTGCGATCCCTCTGGTCGCCTGACGGCGGAACAAGCCCTAGGTCATGGGTTTTTCAAGGAAGATCCCCCCGCAGGGGATCTCTCGTGTCTCTCTCAGAACGGCGTCTCCTTCCTTGAGTATTTGAGCAGTAATCGAGCACGCCAGCAGTACCGAGGTGGACAGCACCGAGGTGCAGCGGTCAGAGCGGTTCCGGGATATAGGACTGGCGCGGGAATTCCTGCTGTTGCTGCTGTGCCTAATCAGGTCGAAAATGCCATCAGCTTTGACCGCGTTTACTAGGAGCTGCGATCAGCGTGTTTACATCCTGCTTATAACCTCCTGTCTTTCTGTACATAATGAGAATACTCTATGATTACATATTGTCGTACACCCATCCAGTGGATGAGATTAGCTAAAGTGGTATCGTGTGTAAACCTGCAGAAGTGTGTGGGTTTCGAAATATGCCAACAAAGCGGACACGCATTGCCCCTCCTTGTAGCCTGGTGTCTCAGTGGAAATTGCTTGTGTCATGAGATTTGGATATTCTTGAAGTGTGAATTCTGTTGGTTGAAGTGAATTTTTATTACTGGCAATGGTTGCGCGTTCATCAAGGGCGGACATTAATGTGCATACTCTGGAGCTGACGCCTTCAAAGTGACATTCTTAGAAAGGACCAATTGTGATTGGCGAGTTCACATGGTCAACACGAATTTTCTTTGAGTACGCTTGCCCTTCAAATGTCTGTTGGAGCTTTTCCTGTAACCAGCAACTAGCCTTTTGTTTTTTTTAAATTGTCGTTTATTGTCAACTTACGAGTCATCGGGTTAGAGACTCGCACCGGATGTGATTTCTCCACATTAGCAGTTGAGATGACTGGTTAGGTTTTACTTATGCTAACCTTTCGTTTTGCTTCATCAGGTGACCTCGTCAGAAATTCACTTGAGTATATACTGAGAAGAAATTAGAGTACACCCTGGTTGTACCGTCGACTAACTTCTGGTTAGTCAAGTCGTGTGCTTCAAAGGCAATCTGAGATGGTGCTCCATTATTTGTTCATTTTGCGCGTCTAATTAAGGGTACACCGGTAGGCTAGAATGTCGAAATTCCATCGACTGCAACCAGGAGTCGAGTAAATTTCTTGCTGTAAGTGCGTTTAAATGAATAACTGCCTGCTATCGGGTCCGCAATTAAATAAACATACACATTACCAAACGAATCGAATTAGCACTTTGATTTGCACGATGTGCACTTTTGTTAAGTAGCGCTTCTGCGGTCGAAAACGAAGTCTGTCAACATGACAACATCCTACTGAGATGGTTTTAGTAGAATCAGCAAAGTTTTGGCCTTGGCTCATGCACACTAACATGGATCTTTCGACATGCGATTGGCTTATCCAATGTCTGTGCTCCAATGAAACGGAGCTGTCGATATTGGGATTAACTGACATGGCACGGGTGGAAACACCTAGCTGTGTACGACCTCAAGAACAAAGAGACGCTGCATCGTGTCGAACACGAGTTATTGAATTCATAGTTTACATCGAACTACCGATTATTGCATCAACGCCCTAGCCGAGTTCATTCAACTTGTGTTCGGAAATCAGTAAGACACAACAATGGCACGTCTCTAAATACCATTTAACCAATAATAAGTTCTTTAAAATGCATTGCAGTTGTAACATTCGCAAAAGCATACAAAAGTGCCAGGTTTTGATCACCGAAGTATCGGCGGATGGTCGGGTAGAATGCCCGGAATATCCCATATTAGTTGACAGATCTGATATCTCAGCAGCACAAATGAGCGCGCTGACGGATGTTATTGATAAGTGCAAGAGTGGAATGTCAGTTGAAGAAGGTTACCAACGTACCCCCTAAAACGGTAGCTGTTCATCGGTGTAACAGTCCCTAGTGTCAGTTGTGCGCTTGCGTATAAAGGCATGGAAGTAGTGTTAAAGTACACAGGAAGAGCAAACCAGCATACCAGAAAATAATTTAAGCACTGTTCATTTTATGGTCACAATGATTCACAACGCATTTGCGTAGCTATTGGACATTAATTTGAATAGAAGGGGACCGTCAGCGCAATGTGCATTAGTATGCCACCAATGGGAATGGGATACGAACGTTTGCGATTAGCCAATAGAAACACAGTGATGAGTGGACGGATGTTCACGAAAACAACGCGGGTATATTTACGAATAACATTTCCTACATAGAGATGGAAATTGGTTTGACAAGAGAATAACTCAATAAGAAGCAGAAGTAGCAAGCATGTAAGTGAATAAGCAGAATCTGGGGCAGTAGGTGAATCGCGTGCAATGGAGGTGATGTCAGAGGAACAACTTCTAACGAGCGTCTTGCAAGTGACCAAATATAAACTGCGAAAAAGTACTGAGAACAGTCCAGTGGTGGAATTGCTTCAAAGTCCACCATGACAGCGCTACACCGCTGGTTGCTCAACACGCACTGCGAAGTCTTTGAGAGTTAAAGAGGCATTCCTGTTTTAGAAAACGATGGAGACTACCATATTGGTTTAGTAAATGTTCAGTAATTTGAAGGTAGTGCTCGAATTTGTGCAATCAACCTATATGAAACGGAGGAAACACAAGCCCACTACACTTCTGACCCCTGAATTGTGCCCCGTGGACAATCGTACATGGGCCAGGACAAATGATCTGCGTTACCAATCGTGTTGGCCTAAGCTGTTACGTTGGTGGGCCTTTTTTATCCACCTAGGAAGTCAATCTCATCTGTGGTAGGTTAATTTATAAAAATCGGCACCAAACATTCACTCGCTTCAAGTTCAATGAAAAACTGATATTTGTCAGAAGATGCGAATTTCGTAAAGAGCTGCAAAAGTGCGACTTTTGGAAGGGAATCTGGGTCACGCAAAACACACGGTAGTGAGAATGCGCCGACAGACCTTGGTGGCACTCTACTACTCGTGTGATTGGCTCCAACACCAGCCAATTACCTGCTAGCACCAATCGCCATGAACGCAGTAAGTTGCGAGCACGAATTATTGCCAATTCTGCTAATTTTCGCCACTCAAACGGGTGATGAGCTCCACACTGAGAATTCTCTTCGTTGCGATCTGCTTCCTGTCGGCGGTTTCCAATGCCTACCAATACAGCAACACCTTCATAAGCCAGGTCACCACCTACCCGAATATTGTCACCAACAAGAACCGATGCCTACCCGGCAGGGGCAGCAGCGCCTCCCAAACCGTCCTCATTTGTGACCCGCACGAACTGCTCTCCACTGATCGAGGTGCGTGAGGCCATTTTGGCTAATCCATGCCCATACTCATTTACCGGTTTTTTGTCACCACTCTGGGCCAGGCTCAATTTCTCTAATTCCATGCAACGGTCCTTGTCGGCAGTATTTTACACACGAAACCAATGAAATAGTGAGAGGGCCAGAAAGTGGAAAGAGCGCGTGTCTGACCACAAATTAGGATGCAGTTGTGTCGTGTGTTCATGCAACAAGATGATTTGTATATTCCAGCTAATGCCTAAGTCTGATTGGGCAAGTGCTAATGTGTGAATCGCCGCCAAATTATAACCTCAAGTATCCCTGTTGAGAGTTCGAAGAAACGCAGGTGAGTGTGAATGGTCAAGGACCAGAGAGGTGAGAATTTGTGTGTGTACAAATTCTAGTCATTATTTTTGCTCGTAGAAGGAGACAACGCCGAGGCACAGCTTAATTTACCTTCGTATACATCGAACACTGAGTTTCATTTCTGAAGAAAAGTGCCCTAATAGTGCAGTTTGGGAGTTGGTGTGAGTCCTACACATTTAGATATCCACTAGTCAAGTAAATGGGCAAGTAAGCGAACACATTCGAATGAGGTAGCGGTCATGTCTCGTGTTCCAGTAGCGAAATTCTTTGCTAAACACACACTCATGCCAAGTGTGCTTGACATGTGATGCGACCGCTCCGCCATTTGAGAATTTAAAGCTTACACATGTAAAGCTTTTGTCGGTCTGTCAGACAAGGATAAAAATGCATTCGGTGAGTTCTCTTGGCATAGATTCGAGCATATTTTCCAGTTTCATTTGCTCTCTAGAAGTGTAGACTCCACTAAATCCGTCTTTTATTTACACTCCATATATGACTTTGCAGTTATTGCATCCCACAACCTTTAGCCATATTTCTCATTAAATTACGGAATATTTGGAATTCAGGGGAATGCAAGTGAGTGTTTCACCAAATACGTATGTCAAGTTCAACTGAATGTCATCCGCTAAAATCGTTGTGATGTAGATGGTAGGGTGAAGGACGTCAACGTTGCATGGATAATGCAACCCAAACGACAGCTTCAAAGTGAGTGATTCTCAGGTTACTGGCTATGCCAGGTTGCCCAAGAACAGGCCCATGTCTATTTTCCTGACGGAAACACACATAAGTTGGAATGTTATTTGATGTGGAACTGCTCACTTTAAGTATCACGCATCCAACTGACAGGCTGTGCGCGTCAAGTGCGAACCAGCACTTCGGCGAAATGGGTGATTAGCAGGTTTGGCTGTAATGCGGCAGAATCTGCGGAGCGAGTAAAATCGCAGACTCGGTCCTGTGGACTATTCAGAACCGTCGGTCAGGGTCAAGTAGATAACCCCACAGACCTCTGAAACTGACTTATGCTTCACCATCAACTCTATGCTGATGTTGAAACAAGCTGGACGACATTGCGGACATACTATGCGACGAGGGATTAGTCGTTATTACGCTGCTGGGCACTGACCGTTGGACGGGCTGATTTTTTATAGGAGCCAACAATTACACCTGGGGTGTCTGGACAGACCGCGATTTGTGGAAAGTATTTATTTTAACTGACCAGATATCATCCTGTAAACACCGGGTGATAAATGAGCGCGTGTGTTTTCATGTATACTAAAATATGTGAAAAAGTATTCACAAAGCTCGCGGTTTTAACGACTGTTACCCAGTACTCCGTGACAGGAGACACCGTAAAATGCCATATTTGGGTGCACGAATTTCTGTTCCCTGCACTTCTCGTTCTGTCTTCCGACCTACGACAGGACTCCGCAACCTGCCGCATTTATGCGTTTTCGGCAATAACGCCATCTCAGTGTAAAGTCCTGTTAAATGCAAATTCGACAAAAGCAGTCGATCTCGGTTCGACTTGGATGTCATGGTGACAATCCCACCAGCGGTAAACAAGCTATTCATTTACGTGTTGGCATCCTCGTTGACATACCTATTCTGGCAAACTGAAAGCTGTGCCAATGAACTTATTTTGTCTTCAGTCCAAATTTCATTGGCTTTATTCAATTCTGACGTCTCCATCCAACGAGGAAGGCAGTTACCATGGGCCTACAGCCTGCAGTAGGCTTCGAGTTCTCGGGCTTCATCGGCACAGTTGCCAACGCGAACGCTTTAATTACCTCGGTCCGAATGCATTTCACACCCATTTGACCTTTTACTTTGTTAACAAGGCTTTAATTTCGAACAACTAACACACCAGTGCACCGTGACACGCAGCACTATAAAATGTGGAAATTAGATGTACACATTTTCACTGGTAGATGTTTAAAGCCCTACGAACGAAACGGCATCGATTCGATCGTCTGTTCACGTCAGCACTCATAATTTTTCCTTCAGCCTAGTGCATGATTCATTCACTTGTTGCACCTACGCGTTTCCGATAATAACGCTACCTAAGTGCAAGGTCCTGTTAAACACAAATCCTTCGAAAGTAGTTGATTTCGGTTCGATGCCGATCCCATGGTGACAAACCTACTTGCTCCAAACGACGGCAGATTATTGTTTCGTGGCAAAGTTGTAATTGGCTGTTTGGTTCATGTGTCGATAGCACCGAGTCAACGAATCTGTGCCTAACTCTTGATTGCCTCGTTGATAACTCACTAGCGTTAACAAGTCACAGTTGGTGTCTTGCACATTGTGGCTTCCGACGACGTCATTTTGCGCTTTGGAGTAGTTGAGTGTTTGGTGGCCAAGCAAGACGCTGACGTTCAAGGGCCGCTCCTCGGACAAGCAGGAT